GAACCGGGATGTTCCTACAACACTTTTTGGTGCGTTTGGCGAATCAACAGTTTCCAACCAGCTCAGGAGCATCTGATGGGCTGGGAGCCAAAATGGCTAGTCAGGAAACAAGCAAAAAATGTCAGCAACAACGTTCACCAAATTTGTCCTGTGTTTCTCCATCAAAATGTCAACCACTTAAATTTCTCAGTCCCCAAACATTGGTGAGGGGCACTGTGGAGTTCCTCCCCCACCAACCTTTGGGGTGCAGTAAACACATCCATGTTGAGTTGCTCACATCCAAGAGTTCGTTTGATCCTCTGTGGGCACTTGGCAAATGCATAAATAATAATTTCATCCTCGTTTAACCCTTGATCATCCTTCCAAACAATAGCATGCCCTGCTGTTGTCTGGGCAGACATGCCTTGTGGAAGAAGGTCTATTAGCATTTCAATAGTCTCTCCCTCCCAGGAGATGTTTCACTTCCTTGGCTGAGCGGTTAGTTAGTTTAGCTGACTCTTTGAAACAGATGCTTAAATGTACTGTACTTCTGTGATAATTGCAATGCATACTGAGCAATCATATTCTCGGCTGTCACAATCACAAACTGCTTAATGTATAGACATTGTTAGGCAGTAGTCCGGCTCCCGAGAGCAAAGGAGAGTTTGGCTCAAAGAGTGAATTAATTCCTTGCTTGGATAGAAACAAATTGACACAGATACAGGATAATCTAGGCTGGTCTTTGTTTGCAAACACAGCCAGGACTTGGCCTTTAGGTAATTATCCAATGAGAATAAAATATTTCTCCTGAATATTGCAAAGGCGCTAATCTACTCAGTGTAGCTTTGAGATCATGAATGCTAAGCCCTGAATTCCCCGCTTCTCGTCTTCCTCCACTACTTTTATTGGTCTCAGAGGGGTAGCCGTGTTAGTCTATAACTTTAATAATGAGTAGTCCCGTGGCACATTAGAGACTAACAAAAATATACATATAGTAGCGTGAGCTTTCGTGGGCAAAACCCACTTCTTCAGATGTGATATCCTCTGACTCAAGATCATCTCATCTGAGGAAGTGGGATGTGCCCACGAAAGCTCACGATACTATATATATATTTTTGTTAGTACCTAAGGTGCCACTCATGACTTGTTGGGGTGTTTTCTATTATTGTAACTTTTCTGCCAGGTAGCGCCAGCAGCAGCCAGGTTCAATATCTAGTGGTTCCTCTCCATCCATTCAACACAGACCTGGCTTGAGCCCCCACTCTGTAATCGGAGAAATTCACACACCGCCCTTGGGTGCCTCTGAGAGGCAATGCTTCCCCACTCACGGGCAGAGTCTGAGTATAGGAAAGAGACTTTTAAAAAAAGGGAGGGAAGTAACTTGGCATTCATTTAGGATAACACCACAAATAAGGTTCATAAACAAAAACCATGAGTAAAAGTCCCACACCAAGTAGGTTCCGGGCAATGTCCCATTCCTCTCAGGTTCTTAAGTCCAGCAACCAAAGGCTACATCTACACTGAAGCGCTATTTTGGGATACTGGAGGTATCCTGAAATAGCTGTTCCGCATCTTTTGAGCGCACTCGTTATTTCGAAATATAACAGGCTCACTATTCTGACATCCCTGTAAACCCCATTCCACAAGGAGGTAAGGGACATTTTGGAATAGCATTTTATTTCGAAATAAGTGCTGTGCAGACAGCACCCTCAAAGTCCCCTTCACAGGCCCAACCCTCTCTGCACCCCACTCACAGCTGCTGCCCTGCTGGCCGCTCATCACATCCCATGGCCACCATCTTGCTGGCATGTCTCCACCACCACCCAGCTGGCTGTCAGTCACCTCTTGGCTGTGACTTCTGCCCCTCACTCTCAAGTGATTTCACCTCCAAGTGATTTCAACTCTTAGCAAGCAGGAGAGAAGAAACACAACTCCCACACAGCTAACCTAAGAAAGGGTTCTAATGTTGCCTATTTAGTTCTGTTCTTTGAAGGGGGAGGAAAGCCAGTCAAATCAATGGAGTGGGCGTGGGTGGCAGAAGGGGAGGGAGAGGGGGAAGGGGCGGGGGCCAGCGACGGGCCCTCCAACTCTTAGAAACCTGAACGTCAGGCCCGTGATTAGCAATGTTCTTTCTGCTAACTGTGAGTTCTTTCCTTCAGAACAGATTTAGTTAGCATTGTCCTGCTTTTCTGTATTCTGTATTCCCACAAAAATTACAAACACTGGCAGCTGTCATTTCTGCTTTCCCTGCATTTAGTGTGGTTGGGTCACAAATTAAGTTGATTACAACAAGCAAAATACCACACCACCTGCTGAAGAGCGAACAAATCTAAGCAAAGCAGGAGCAAACTGTATTTACATAGACACACCCGGCATCTCTCTCCCTTCTGGCTAGCTGTCAGGGGAGCATCCCTTCACATCCTGCCCACATCATATGTTTGTGTTATGTAGCAACCAGTGGCCCCAACATGGACATAAGAGACAGTCAGACAGGACCGAGAAGGACAGGAGGAATGGGATATTATCCCCATTTTGCAGATGGGGAAATAAGGCACATAGGTTAAGTTATTGGCCAGTAAGGTCACCCAGGAAGCATATGGAAGAGCTGGGAATCACTGTTATATATTATTTGTATTATAGTAACACACAGGGAATTAAGTCTTTGATCACAACAGCCTTAAATTCAGCCAGAGCTCTGTGGAGCAGAGCTCCAGTAAATATTTTCAACCTCCCTGAAGTTTTTATAGCACATTTGGGGGGCTCCAGGAAATACTCTATGGCTACGTCTACACTGGCCCCTTCTTCGGAAGGGGCATGCTAATTTTGAACTTGGGAATAGGGAAATCCGCGGGGGATTTAAATATCCCCCGCGGGATTTAAATAAACATGGCCGCCGCTTTTTTCCCAGCTTGGGGAAAAGCCGGAAAAAAGCGTCTAGACTGGCGCGATCCTCCGGAATAAAGCCCTTTTCCAGAGGATCTCTTTGAAGTAGGAATAAGATATCCTCCGGAAAAGGGCTTTATTCCGGAGGATCGCGCCAGTCTAGACGCTTTTTGCCGGCTTTTCCCCAAGCCGGAAAAAAAGCGGCGGCCATGTTTATTTAAATCCCGCGGGGGATATTTAAATCCCCCGCGGATTTCCCTATTCCCAAGTTCAAAATTAGCATGCCCCTTCCGAAGAAGGGGCCAGTGTAGACATAGCCTATAAGAACTGAAATCCAGGATCAGGACCAATGTTCCTGCTAATCTTTTCCATCCCTGTGAGAAATAATGTTATGTGCACCAAGGCATGTGAAAATGTGCACCACCCGTAGAAACAAAAAACGTAACTGTGGGCACTCTGCTAATCATGTGAGCGGCATTTGAATCTCTCCTGAGTGGCTACACAAGCACCCATCTTACAGGGAACATTGCTCAAAACCTGAATCAGAGGCTGTACAAACACAGAACAACAGTCCTTGCCCTAGGTGCTCACAACTGAAGTACAAGCTGAGATGACAGGTGGAGACAGACAGACAGACCCCTTCGTAACAGTGAGACTATTACCTGCAACTGAACTGAGAATGCAGTCCGCTCCAGTGGCATAAGCTAAGTCCTAGAATCTCTCCTTCTGCCTCTCTCAGGACTGGGGTAAGGGAATAAAGGACGAACTGCAGACATTTTGCAGTTCAGGGCCAGTTTGGATCAGCCCCAGAAGTTCAGATGCTTCCCCCCGACGTTGGAATCCTTCTGAGTCGTCACATCGGGGCTGGATTTCTCCCCAGCAGCTTTCTCCCTGTGGCTAGGCCAATGTGCTCAATTCAGGTTCTTGTCCCATGCCCATCCCTGTGCTGTCTGAGGCCGATACATGAGTCTTGAATGACTGGGTGTGGCTATACAGGACATGCATGTTAATAGTCTCCCTTCTGCTGTTTCCAGGAGCCCAGAATCCTACAAAAGACACAAAACTGTGTCCTCACCCGGACACCCCCATGTCTTCCCACTGGGATGCCTCCCCTCCCCTCCTGCTAACAGCCACACCCTCGCACTGGACTCCTGCCTGCCACCCCTACCTCCATGTCCTGGGGCAGGGATCCCCCACCCCTGCCAGGGGTATCCGAAAGTGAAACCCACCGACCCCGCCCCGTTGGCTGAAGAAGTGCATCACCTCAGGCGGCTCCCTGGCCAGCACGGTTTGCATCACTGCAGCTTCCCGGACCAAGCAGTACCCTCTGCCGCTGCGACTATTCGGGTGCTGGAGGCCTGGGTTCTGCTGGGAGCCATGTGGATGGGTAAGTCCCTGTGCGCCACCCCCTCCCCCTGGGTCTGATTAAATAGCTTTTCCAAACTAGTTTGTGGGCCAGATTGGGGAAGTGCTCGGCTGCAGTTGGCCCGTGGGCTGGGAGTTTGAGACCTGTTCTTGGCAATCCGCCTGAGCTGTAGGCGGGGGGCGGGGCTCCCGGGGGCAGGGGGGCTTCTTAGGCTACGTCAGCGCTGTGAGCGAGGCGCGTGATTCCCCTGCCTGAGGATGCAAACTGGCGAGTGCCAGCATCATTAGCGGTGCAGCTGGCTTGTGGCAGGGATATACTCACCCCAGCTCAGCCATAACTTCGCTGCTGCTGCTAGACTGCTAGGGACACTCTCACTGTGTGCCCAACCCCCCTCGCTCGTAGTATAGACATAGCCTTGTGGCTCAGGGGCTTCACTTCATAACCCCACCAGGGACTCATTTTGCCTGGAATTTATTACTAAAACTCTGGGGACTGGGCTGCAGGGAACAGTCTCGTCAGGACCCCGGCTGGAGGGACCAGGCCCACCGAGTGAGAGCCACTGTACATTCTGTGTGGACTCCCTCGCACGCCCCCATCTTTTGTCTGAACTAAGCTCCTTGGGCAGGGCCTGTCTTTTCATCCCGTGTTTGTACAGCCCCCCTGTTCTATGACTTGGGCTGCGACGCGCTGCGCTGTTACCAGGAACAGTCCTTTCGATGATGCGGTGTCGTTTGCCAGAGCCCAAGCACGTGACACGAAGTACCTGCGAGGTCTCAAGGACGGGAAGAATGAAGACCTGGGCTGCTGTGGGACATGCGCTGGCTCTTGCACGTCTCGTCCTTCCTGCTGTTTTATTCCAGCAGGTCTTTATTGTTGTTGGATTAGGTGAGATCTGTTTCCCCCCCTCTGATGCTGCATAGGAAATGAGTCGTCTGTGACATCAGCAAAGACCAAATCTGTTGGGTGTGGTGCTAAGCTGCCCTGATCATTCTGCTGTGGATGGGGGTTACGGCTCTCCCCCCACGGAGCGTGGTTCCTAGTGGCGATAAAAGAGAATCAAGCAGAGGGTTTGGGAATGGGTGGCAAGTAGTCACCACAATTAACATACAAACTGCCTGCCTGAAGCAGCCAATGCTTCTGGCCTGGGATGCATCGGGGGAGGCTGGTACTTAGCAGCAGAATAAATCCAAATGCAATCAAATGGCCATGGGATGCCACGAACAAATAGGAACGGGAGGGCTCCAAGGTGGTGGCTGAAGCAAAAAATGCCTGCCAAGGGCTGGAAAACTGCTGGGATAAGGGGGGTACAGGTCTCGGGGTGAGGGCAGGGCGTGTGGCAAGAAGGACCCATTGAACAGCTGACGGAGTAGTCCTGTGATTGTGTTCCATTCCCAAAGCGGGGCAATCGGAAACCTTCTTCATCAAAGAGTGGGAGGGGGCGAGACAGGCTGCTGGACGGAGTATGGTCTATCATCTATCTGGCCAGAATCCATGGCATGTGGGTGTTCTATTGGGGCACCCTTTATGGAAAGGGTGGGCTGATGGATTTTGGGCCAGGCAGTCAGGGCGTTCACAAATAATGGCCACAGTTCCTTCGGAAACCCCACCCACAACGCATGATCAGTCCTACTTATGGACCGAAAGAACCATAGTCTGGAAGGGGTCAAACAGCCCTGCGAATTCTTGGCCTGGCTGTCAGAATTGCTACGTACCCACAACGCCCACCCATGTTGGCTCAGTACCTCTGACAAAAATCTGCCCATATGGTCTTGTTGGATGACAGCCGATGTAGCAGTTGATGTCTGTGTCATAAAAGAGCCAGCAGCACCATTCTGCCCCCTGTATAAGGACCACGTTGACCATATGCACGATTGTATGGAGGTCTAGACCCCTGCTGAAAAGGCCACAATCAAGAAAGCCATGTGTACTCTACAAAGGCTACACCAAATGATACAACTTCCCAGGCATTGGTGGGGCAGGTGTGTCCACCAGGCTGGCCTTAGGGTGGGCCATCTGGGTGACCACCCTGGGGTACCATGGTCAAGGGGGAGCACAGAAAGCTGCTTCCAGCTTGCCACATGGTAGGGGGCACCCGGGTTTCTCCCTGCTTCCTCCCAGCAGAGGAGCATGGGTGGGGGTGAGCAGTGATACACACAGACTGTTCCCCCAACGTCTCTCTGAACGCCTTTATATCTCTGCAACACCAAATGCTCCAGGCTGCTTTCTTCTCCTCCCTTTCCACAGCCCACACAGGGAACATGACCTGGCTAAAGGGAGCCCTGATGTTGCTGCTCGCTCCCCGACTCACAGCTCCCTAGGAAGTTGTGGAAGAGCATCGCCGGAGTGGAGAGCAAGCCGCAATGCCAGCTGCGTGGTGAATCCGGCTCATTTTCCCCATGTGGGTGAGGAGGGAACAGTGCAGGGTTTAGGGGAGAAGGGGGCAAAGAGCAGGAGTTAGGGGCATGGAAGGGAGTGAAGGGGTTGGGACAAAGGGGCACAGTGCAAGGGGAAGGGTGGAAGGAGGAGGCAGGAGTTGGGGAGCAGGAGAGAAGTGCAGAGACGAAATGGGGGCACAGAGCCAGGGTTAGGGGTGCAATGTGGGTCACCCTCAGGGGCCAAGGTCAATGTGGGGTGCTGTGCCCAATATGGGGGGCCAGGGATGCTGACATGTTAGTTTTCCCAGAGTACCAGTTTCCCTAAGGCAGGCTCTGGATGTCCAGCCATGGGTGCTGGAACTATGGGTGTGGGGGGCGCTGCTGCAGCCCCCAGCTTGAAGTAGTTTCCATCCTAGGTGGGGTTTATAGGTTGGTTCAGCGGTTCTCTGCACCCCCACTTTAGTCATAGTTCCAGTCCCTGTGCCCAGAGGGCAGGGCAGGGGGCGGAACAGGTGACGTGATGATCCAGGGAGGAGGGAACCAAGCAGCAAGGGCGTGAGTGCAGGGGGTGAGGAAGGTGAGGTGTGCAGGGGAGCCAGGAGGAGAGAGGAGCTGAACTGACAAGAGCTGAAATTAAGCCTGAAAGGGGACCCACGACCGAGTGTCTTAAAATGAGCCAACCCCGGACATAGCGCGGTGCTTTCCACCAATGCCACAGTGGCAGCCGCCACAGGGGTGTAGTGGCAAGGGTGTGGGGGAGTGCACCCCACGGTGTGACCTACCACATGAACACTTCAGACGAGCTCTTTCGGATCAATAGCTGCTGCCCGGGTGTCTAGCTGCGCCCGCCGCAGAACGCCTGGGGGACGGAGGTGGATAGACCTCTCTGTCAGACCTGCTTCTTCTTGAAGGCCATGCTGGGAGTGGGCAAAAAGAGCTTTCTCGCTCTGACAGGCTTGCAGGCCTCTTCCTTCCCACGTTCAGGACACGAAGCAGCAAGAAGGCAGAGGAGATTGTGTCGTTGCCAGTGACATATGCTGGCATCCGACAGGTTGTCATGTCAACAGAACACAGTAGAGAGCAGCCCCAGCCGGTGAAGCAGTTGTCTATGATGTCGCTACTCACAAGTCTCTTTTTTGGAACCGGGTGTCAGTGAAGGGGGAGCGATGGGCGAGCGCGAGCTTAGTGGAAACGAGGGGCTTGTTTGAATACTGGGCCTACGCCACCTAGGACACAAAGTCCTTACTGTCAATTGAGGGAGAGGCCACAGAGCCCAGCAGACAGATAATGAAAGAAAAACAAACCAGCCAGCAAAGGGAATGGGCGTCAGATGGGGATGTGGAGCAGAGAACCCCGGACGTCATTCACCGCCCTGTGAGGGAGTCCAGCTTGCAAGGCGAGGGCCTGTTTGAATCCTGAGAAGTTGCACCCAAAGCTCATCCAAAAGGTTTCCCCCTAGCTTGAGCACATTACCACCAATGTCAGCTCACTTCCTAGATCCGTGGCTCCCAACCTGTGGTCTGTGGACTCCTGTTGGCCCGTGATGGTACTGCAGGGGGTCTGCAGAAAATTTAAAAGTCTTTTCTTTTCTTTTCTTTTCTTTTCTTTTCTTTTCTTTTCTTTTCTTTTCTTTTCTTTTCTCAGGGTGGGTGTCCATGAAATTTTAATAGATTGAAAAGGGTCCATATGCTCGAAAAGGTTGGAAACGAGTGGCCTAGATGTTTCTCTGACTCGGAGCAATTGGGATCTCTCTTCCTGTTGCACCCATGCAAGCAAACATGCTGTGATACCAAAATAGTCACAAGCCACAATGTTCGTATTCTGATACCAGGTTCAGAAGTGTTTGATTCAAGGCTTTGGTGGGGCCCACCTGTAGCAGCAGCTACTCAACATTGATATTAGGTTTGCCAGCTGTCTGGGACTGGCCTTGAGTCTCCCAGAATTGACCTCAATTTCCTGGAGCAATTCGAGGGATGTTAATGGGCTGTTTTAAGAAAATGACATTGCAACATGTTGGGGAAAAAAATCTCTCCCAGAAGAGCTTCTGTCAGAGTTGGGAAGCCTAATTGATAGCGTCTGGCACAGCTGGAGAAACTGAGGCACACAAGCCAAATGGCCTGTCTCAGGTCACCCAGGAGCTCAGCAGCAGAGCCAGGAACAGAACAAGGTCTCTGAGCTGCCTGTGTCATCCTTTATGAATAAATCCTTTGGAATTTACTTCCATTGATTGCTGGATCTTAGGTAAATTTTTACCTTGATCTAAAATGTGTGTAAGACCCCAAGTCTTTTGTTCTTTCTCCGCTCTCACTTGGGCAAAATATCCACTCGAGTCGACATAAAGGGCACAAGGGTTCTTTTGGGACTGAAGCGCGATTGTGGGATATTAGTTAAATATTTGGAGATTAAGGAAACAATTGACTTTGGCAGAGAAGCCGGTGCACGGGATGGTGGTCTGCTGCGGGGATAGCCTCAGGACAAACATTTACTAAAAATTCAGTAGGGCAGGGAAGTTAATTTCCAAGGACTCATGCACAGATGAAAAGACCATAGAATCACAGAGTTGGAAGAGACCTCAGGAGGTCATTGAGTCCAACCCCCTGCTCAAAGCAGGACCGATCCCAACTCAATCATCCCAGCCAGGGCTTTGTCGAGCTGGGACTTAAGAACCACTGGAGATTTCACCCCCTCCCTAGGGAACCATTCCAGTGCTTCACCACCCTCCTAGGGAAATAGTTTTTTCTAATATTCAGCTAGACCTCCCCCACTGCAGATTGAGACCATCATTCCTCGTTCTGCCATCTGCCACCACAGAGAACAGCCTCTCTCCATCCTCTTTGGAACCCCCCTTCAGAATGGTAGTGGGAAGCACAGGGTCATGGGTTCTAGTTCTGGGTCAGGTCAGGTTGTCCCCAGGGCTGGAGGGATAAAGGGTGCCCTTACGGCAAAGTGGTGGGGCAGGATTCCACATGTCCTAGGGGATAGGGCACTCACCTGGGAAGCATAGGGTCATGGATTCTAGTCCCAGGTCGTCCCCAGGGTGGAGGAATAAAGGGTGCTCTGACAGCAAGGTGGTGGTGTGATCAAATCCCTCTTCTGTAGACTAACTAAACCCAAATCCCTCAGCCTCTCTTCATAGGTCCTGTGCTCCAGCCCCCTCATTCATTTTGTTGCCCTCTGCTGGACCCTCTCCAATGCGTCCACCTCCTTTTGGTAGTGGGGAGTGCAGAACGGGACGTGATGCTCCAAATGTGGCCTCGCCAGTTCTGAATAAGATCCGGAGTCAGAATTCCTAACGCTGCCACGGAACGGCGCTGTGGCCTGGCTGAGCTCGTTTGCCTACTCAGGGGAGCTGACAGCCACACGGGACCCCTGGGCAAAGTGGGGGGAGGGCGGGTCCATGCTCCCAGAAGGAGTGGAGCCTTGGATGGAAGGGGCTGGGTTGGGGCAGCGAGCGCATCATGTCGCTTCTCCCTCTTCCCCCGCAGTTCTTAGTGCTGCCCAGAGAGTGGCACCCCACTAGCCCTTACAGCCACATGGAGTGGCTGCACAATCCTCTGGTGGCAATTTAAAGGGCCTGCAGCAGCAGCCAGAGCTCCAGGCTTTTTAGAATCACGTGGTCGCAGGGCAATTGCTCCCTTTTCTCCCCTCCCCCCCATCAGCTGGGCCTGTACATATTATTTCAGCAGGGACAGCAAGAGTTAACTGCAGTGCCGTGAGGCTTTGTTGGTGTTTGGAATGGGCTTCAGGGCCCTTGGATGAGAGATGTGAAGCAAAGGCAAAATATCATCCCCATAGCAGATCCCAAAAGGAGATGAACTTGCAAATCCAGCTCTACCCAGAGTAACTCATGGTATTCTGGTTGTATATTCAGTTCAAGTCCATCCCTGGCTATCTTGGCACACCCCTGAAAGCTTTTGATGCCCATGTGATCACTGGCTGCTTTGTGGCATTCCCTGACAGGTGCACTTTGGCATTGGTGCGCCCATTCTAATAACTGGACAATACTGTTACAATTATGACTAATTTTCACCTGATGATGTCCCAGTTACGTTTGGATTTCAGAAAGGAGTCTCTGTTTTTCAGAGCACAACCTTGTATAGTTTGAACCTCTCCAATCTGGCACTCTCTGGTGTGGCAACATTTGTGGTCTGGCATGATTTTAGGGAGCCGGATGTCCACTTACCATAGGTGTGGCCAAGTTTCCCGTGGTCCCATAAAGTTTGTTTACAGCCACCAGTCCTGGCTGTCAGTGTTCTGTGCTGTTCTTTAGCTCTGATTGATGCCTAAATGTTTTCTAAGAGTGTCACATTATCAGATTCTAAAGATCATTGTTGCACTCATGGGGGGGGGGGGTATTTGCCCCAAAAGTCTATAAAAAGGGGTCCATGTGAGGTGTCACATGAAAGTCTATGTTCTACTGATTCTGTATATGCTATTGATGTACTTGTATGATATCTGTATGTGGAGTTATAAACATGTACTTTGTATGGATGCTGGAAAATTCTCTGTCTGAGGCAGAGCAACGGGCAAGGAATGTTCAGCTATGTTAATTAGTGAGGCTCCAGGGACAATAGATCTCTAAGTGCCAGAGACACACCTGGGGAATGTCTTGATATCTGCAGGCCAGCCAGGATAATGGTTGCTGACTTGGGACACAGGGATAGGTCAATGGACCATGTGACCTGCAGTGACCCATTCTATGAAAACAGGCTCGTGCGCTAATTGCTCTGTCCCGCTTGGCTACTCTTATGTATAGCATTTGATGGTGTCCATTTTAAATCACTACACACTTACAAAAATGCACCTGGGTAACGTTACTGGATTCTAAAAGCCAGTGCTGCACCCATGGGGGCGGGGGAGTTGCCCCAAAAGTCTGTACAAAGGGGGTCATGTGAGATGTCAAATGAAAGCTTATGTTCTACAGTTCTGTATATGCTATTCATGTACTTGTATATCATCTGTACATGGAGGTATAAATAGGTACTTGGTGTTGATGCTGGAAAATTCTCTGTCTGAGGCAGAGCAATGTGCCAAGAATGTTGGTTCAGTGGCTATGCTAATTAACAGGGCTTCAGGGACAATGAATCTCCAGGTGCCAATACACACCTGAGGAATGTCTCTGGAACCTGCAGACCAGCCAGAATAGTGACTGCTGACTTGGGACACAAGGACAGGTCACTCGGTCAGCTTGGAAGAGACCAGGGATGGATATAAAATGCCATGTGGTAGACTCCATCTTCTCTTCAATTCTACTCCTGATCCCACATGCAGCCTTGCGAGGTACAATGAGCCAGGAAGAACTGTGGACCCATCCTGACATAGGATGTACACCAGAGACTTTTAAGCCAGCAGTTTCTAACATCTCTGCTGAGAGCTAGTATCAAGAACATGGTGATTTGATGCATGTAATGTAATCTCCTTAACAACCTTGCTCTCCACCTTTTCTTTCCTTTAGTAATAAACCTTTTGATTTTAGATTCTAAAGGATTGGCCCAGCGTGATCTTGTGGGTAAGATCCAGCGTGCAAATTGACTGGGAACTGTGGCTGGTTTCTTGGGACCGGAAGAACCCGTTCAGGGTAGGTGAGACTGGGTTCTATAACCCCTCACCTGTGTGTTAGGCCTGGGGCTGAGTGGGGCACAGGAAGAGCTGGGGTGTTTGAGGGGTTTTGCTCATGAGGCTTCTGGCTGGCCAGATTAGAACCTGAAGCGCTCGGTGTGGCTGGTTTGTGGCCTATTTAGAAAGGTCCCCAGTCTGGGGCTGTAAGGAGCCCGAAGTCTGAGCAATGCACCCTAAGCGGACGCCCTCAGCCGTGCCCAGACCCAGCCTGGTCCATCACAAAAAGCCCAGTAAACAGTGGCAGTGCTGGTAATGCTGCTAGACCATATTAACCTCCCGTGGTTCAGCAAATTGTCTGGTTCAGAACCGATCAGTTCCCAAGGGTGCCAGACTAGAGAGGTTCAACCTGTACTTGCAAATGATCATGCCTGAGTCTTTGCAACATGGGATGAAACTTCCCCATGTGCTGAA